AAAGTGAGGAAGGTTCCCGATCTTTCTCTCCTTGGAGCCCCCTACCCCCAATTCCGACCATCACTACCATCCGCATCGTCACTGTCACCACCATCATCATCATTGACCATCACTTCTAGTTTCGATCTCTATCTCTAGTAGCTATAGGTTTCTTCATCCATCTCGCTCTATCGCCAAAAATCCATCTCCAGATTTGCTTGTCTTCATCTCGTACCAGCTGTAGGCCATACACTACTAGAAAATATAATTTTTTCGGAGAGAACATTTCGGTCAAGCAAAAATCTTGACCGAAAAAAGACTTAATTCAGTCAAAAATTTTGACTGAAATATACTTTAGTCCGATTAAAAAATATTCAACACAATAATTCAGTCTAAAATTATTTCGGTCAAATATATTGACTGAAATAAAAGAGCGCCAATTGGCGCTATAGTTAATTCAGTCAAGTATTTTATCCGAGTTATATTAACAATAAAATAATAAACATTTCGGTCAAAAATTTTGACTGAATTAATTAAGTAATATTTGTTCTAATTTAGTTATATTTTTCAGTCAAAAATTTTGACCGAAATAATAGTCTCCTTTTTAACAAAAAATTGTACTAATATGATGCTTTCTTTTTTAAATTTTGTTTAATATTCCATAAAACAATTTCGGTCAAGCATTTTGACCGAAATAATTGTCTCCTTTTTTTTAAATTCTATTGGTATGATGCTTTCTTTTTGTAAATTTTTTAAATTTTTTATGAAACTATTTCGGTCAAGAAACTTGACCAAAATAATTGTCTTCCTTTTCTTTAAAAAAAATTCTATAGAAAATTACTGTGACGCTTTCTTTCCTAAATTTTTTTAAATTTCTATGACATTATTTCGGTCAAGCATATTGACCGAAATAAATCTCTCCTTTTTTTTTTAATTGTATTAGCATTGCACTCTTTATCTTTCTTTCTTTCTTTTTTAATTTTCTATAAAACTATTTCGGTCAAGCATCTTGACTGAAATAATTGTCTCTCTTTTCTTTTTTTAATTATATTACTATGGCGCTTTCTTTGCTAAATTTTTTTAATTTTCTAAGAAACTATTTCGGTCAAGATTCTTGACCGAAATTATATTGTTTTGGCTCCAAGAATTAAGTGAAATTTCTTAAATTTTTTGCCAAAATTATTTCGGTCAAAATTTTTATCCGAAATTAATGTTTTAGCTCGACAAATCAAGTGAAACATTTTGAATTGTCCGCCAAAAATATTTCGGTCAAAAATTTTGACCGAAATAGTCTAAACACTTTAGGCACTTTAAATTGTATTTTACACATTTCCTTCTTCCTTCTTTCTGCATTTCCATTCATTCCGCCTTCGACGCCCATATTTCTCATCTTTCTCTTCCTTTTAATTACATCCCCTCCTTATTTATCTTTCCTTCCATCATTTTCTTTCATTTCTTCCTTTTTCTCATCTTCTCTTTTCTTCACTTTCCCTTTTCTTTCATTCAAGCTTCTCATCCTCTCTTCCATTTTCTCACATTCTTTTTTCCTCATACATTCCTTCCTTTAGTTTC